GTTTGAAAAGAAAATTTGCCCTGGGCGGGATTTGAACCCACGTCCCCCTGTTACTAGTCAGGTGTGATGACCACTACACTATCAGGACAACCATGGTGGCAACACGGCAATGGAAGTTGTGATTTGCGTGATCGGAGACGTGGTCTCCCGGGAAACTTAATTTTCAAGGTGACAGAGTAGGGGAAGCCTATAACCCCATGTGAAACCTAACTAAGGATCTATTAAAGATACACGACCGAAGTCAACTTAGCGGATGACAAAGGAGGATCCAATTACGGATACAGGCTAATTTCAATTAAACAAATTCATACAAGGGAAACTCTGACCCTGTACACCCCAAATAATCATACTTATTAACTAAAATAAATGTTTGAAAAGAAAATTTGCCCTGAGCGGGATTTGAACCCACGTCCCCCTGTTACTAGTCAGGTGTGATGACCACTACACTATCAGGACGACCATGCTGGCAACACAGCAATCGAAGATGTGATTTATGTGATGGGAGACGTGATCTCCCGGGAAACTTAATTTTGAAGGTGACAGGGTAGGTTCAAATCCCGTACTGTGCAAATTTTCTTTTCAAACATGTACTCTCTCTCTCTCTCTCTCTCTCTCTCTCTCTCTCTCTTATATATATATAGATATAGTAAAATCCAAGAGTTAGTTATTTGGTCATTTATTTGCTACTAGTTTCGTGCTTCATTCGAAGTAATCATCAGGTGGCTGTCAAAAATGATGGTTACAGTCAGACATTTGAAAATACGTGATAGTTGCCAAGTTTGTTGTGTGTAGTGCCTGCATGATCACCGTCATTAAAAAAGAACATTTTTTAGCAGAAACTTCCTACGCACTACATGCAACAAACTTGGCACTATCACGTATTTTCAAATATCTCTGATTGCAACTGTCATTTTTGACAGCTGCCTGATGATCGCTTCAAATGAAGCATGAAACTCAGAGCAGCGAATAAATAACTGAATAACTGAGTAACCAACTCTTGGATTATAATTCATCACTCTAGTTCAGCTGTAGAGCACTTTTAAGTTGATGAGGATTTCAACCCATTCCTAGATTATATATATATATATATATACATATATATATTTTTTCCATGTTGTTGGGCTGATTATGCCTCATTGCAGTAAAAGATCAATACAGATCTGGGGAAATTGATCCATAAACACCCCAGAATGTGTTTTTTTAAGATTAAATCTGCTCTTCTTTATATGTGTACAAAAGTTTTATGCAGACAAGCAGATTTTACCTTTGCATGCACCACACCAAGACTTGTGAATAATCAACATCAAAGGTTTGTGGCTGAAATGTTCAACAATGAAAATGCAAGCTGAACAAATGAACATGTACTACACAGATAAAGAATAAAAAGAAGATAAGAATGCAAAATACAGTATAATTACAGTTATAATTAATTTCTTAACTAATACTACTGACAAAATCACACACAGTGAAACTGTTTAATTTGTCTTCATAAATGTGATTTTGTTTTTAATAATTGGAGACATTAAGAAATTTCAACCAAACCCTTACAGGAGTGTACACATGGATCCAACCGTAATTGGCAAACAGGCCTACACTCAAAGAACAGACTTAGGAGAATGACAAAAATTGACAAAGTAAATTATCATTGCTTAATATTGTACACAAATCTGTAAACATAGTACAATTCAGTGTAACAGCCTATTATCTTAGAAAAAGTTGGGAAAAAGGTTTTAAAGCTCAACATAATTTAATTCACAACACAATAGAACAGGAGCTTCACCTCGATTCTGCTTCTTTAAGTCCTTCAGAATATGTCTTCCAGTCTATGTGATCCCCAAAACCTGAAAAGAATTAGGCACATTACAACTAAAATTGTATAAAATCGAGGTTCATTACAGCACACCTAACATACATGTAAAGAAGTCACAATCAAGATCTGATTCCCCAAGACTTAAAAAAGTGCAATCAGTTCATATCACAAATAATCACTGGAAATCATTTTTCCACTGTTTGGGCAAAAATGAAGAAATTAACCTAGATACAAAAGAAAAAATTAAGACACTGAAAACAGGTCAAGTTTTAATTTGCTAAATATAACTTGCAGAAAGAAAACAGGCAACTTTCAAAGATATCTGATCCTGTAATAATTATACAAAAAACCACCGCTTAACTTGTTATGTCTTTTTTTTTTTTAATAGAGGACAGTATATGGCCATGTGTGGAAAGGAATTTTATCAACAACTTTACGAGTGAGTGAGGCAAGCGATTGAGGGATCATTGCTATGAACAAATTAAGACTAATGAACCCAATTCCAGAGTCAGACATGCCGTTATGAATTTGAAATATAGCTACTAATAAGAAAATTCACACCAAAGAAAAATTTTAAAACAATGTTCAAAATTAAAAAAAAAAATACAAAATAAATGAATAAATACGAAATTAGAAATAAAAATAAAGTGTTTCGATAAAACTATGATCACAATGATAAATTTGTTAAAATTTAAATACACCATGACCAAGCTGAAAAATTACGGTTCACAAGGCAAGTAAGGTAAAAACCTTAAACTAAGATCTACAGTCGTTGTATTTGTCATCTGGACAAAGCAGGTGAGTACTAGCTATTATTGAAAACATCTGCCAAATGGCAATTCATTTCATCCGCTAAATAATAATTTCGTTCATCAACAAGTTTGCTAGCTTTTTTGGCTCCAGTAGAAAAGGTAGATCTTCCTGGAGAATGGCAAAAAAAAAATCAAAAAAAACACAAACTTATATTAAGTGACGTAGACTGCGCAAATTGATTGTTATCAACGAAACACCTGTGGTGATCGATGTTGAAGTTTAATAGGGCTCTGGATGGATTTGCAAAGAACGTGACTTCCATCAGTTGACAAGTAGTACTAAGTCTGAAAGCACTTAACTCTTTTGCTTATTAATATTTCACGTTCACTCCTACATAGCTGAGTCTCTTTAAACACTTTGCGGTTATACAATAATTATCATCTGCAAATAGGGTGGCTCGCCGCTTAACTGTACTAACATTCGAACTACGAAATGTGAAATCCTTACCTCTCCCAAGCATTCCATTCGTAGTTAAAAAGCAAAGAAATCCGGAGAACAGGAAAAATAATAATGAATGAACGCCGTAAAACGAGAGGACTGCAGCCATGACTTGTTCGTGCTATGAAGAGATGCTTTTCAAGGAAATTATGTTGCCCTGGGAACTGGTGCCCAAGCCACCTGCAGCTGATCGATCGAAGACTTGTTGGAGGATTGCACAGAGCACCCAACTCCCTTTCACAAAAGCGTAACTTGGAAACTGAAAGGCTTAAGCTACACTTGTCTGATTGCTCTTTCCCGACTCTACATCCAATGAGGGGTTAGTGATGAGAGTTAAGGTTTTCAGGAGGGGATGGGTAGGAGGGGGCGGGGCCGGGGGGGAAGGCCTAAGGAAATGGATAAATAGTCCGGGATCAGGAGAAGTAATGCTAAAATAGGTACCTTTGCAAGTCTTCAAGTAAATAACAAGGTAGCGTTTAAAAGTTAAAAAGTGCATGAAGAGGGTGGAAAACCTGTCATTTAGGTATTTGAAATGGCACTAGGAGTTCCTTACGTAACTTGCGTTTTTCATGAGACTGGTGCTGTTTTTCAATAGAAGGTAAGAGAATAAGGTGAACTTTTCCATCCAATATTTGTATTGCTATACAATACTAAGGAGCTTAGCCTACTTATAAGCGGAGAGAAATTTGTTGTATTAAGTACCCTTCCCTCCCTGGGCGTTAACACGACGCGTTACTTTTTGAGCATGTGCAAGGTAGAGTAGGACTGGTGCGAGTAACCTCGTTCCCAGGGTCTTTTCCCTTTCGCCCCACCTGCAGCTAAGGGAAAAGGCCCTTGGAACGAGGTTGTAGTGCGAGGGCTATCTCAGCATTCGGCAAACTGGGAATCTTCTTTTGACTCATGCAGTAGTTGTACAGGAAGACGTGACGACTCTGCAAAATTTAAACAATCTTGCCGCATAGCTTAGCATGTGTGTAGCTATCTGACAATATTTCTCGTCGCTAGATGTAGAAATTCGAGTTTAGTTGAAAGAGTTTATTAGCGGTCGGGCTTAGCCGCCACGCCTTCATATTAAAAACAAGATGCTTGGTTACCAATCTCACAGTGTGCTTTCTGTTCTGCGGATAACAGCTCGCAAATGGCAAAGTAGTGTAAAATAGCAGTCAAACGGAACGCATGCGCAAATGGATCATCTCAAGCCAACCGTTCGCAAGAGTAGCATACCTTCTGGCAGTCACATGAAAAACATGACCAGCCTTAGCTTGAATTGGCGCGTAGACCTTTGCCTCAAAAGCTCTTCGTTTTTCACCGCCCCTGTAAGGGCGCACAGCTCTCTTGAAGAGAAACTTTTTCGAGTTCAGAGGTTACTTGGCAATGAAAGATGAACAAGCTGTAATGACAATTTTTTGCTCAGTTTATTTTCTACTTTACAAATTTTCAAATACAGTCTGTTATAATATAACACCCTCCCTTGCCTCAGCAAGTTAATATTGCAAAAGATCATAATAAATACATTTTGACAATCTCTTATCTCCCTCGTTCTTGCCAAACAAGCAATTGCATTCAAACTCAACGCTTTTCATGTCCTCCAAGATCAGCGCATAGCCTATCAAGGCAACATCTTGTTTGGAAGGCAGCGCCAGGCTGTTTATTTAAATCAAAATCTAATTCTTAAATATAAATTAAAATACATTTTCAAACAAGGACACTTTTTTAAACTTAAAACACATGTTTTGTCATTCCCATGTCATCTTTAGATGTACGTGTTCGTGTGTTACTTTAAAGTCTTACTTTTACTTTCACAGATTACGCTACAAAATTACGTTTAACACTTTCAAATGTTAACGGTAGTTTTAATTTTCTGTTCTCACTTAAGCAACTTTTTTTTTTATTAATATTTTCTTCAGTGTATATCACCTTTTCAGATTGTGAAGGTAATTTTGTAAAGCAATTTCAGAATGTAATCTTTCAGCGTGAATTTAAAATGTAATTACAATGTAAAATTCAAACTGTATACTGCACATTCGCAATTGGAGAAGACATGGGGGCGTCGAAACATGTTTGATAGACTAATAAAATTTGTTTCTGGTTTGGAAATTACTGTTATGGTGCTCTCTTTATAATAAACACGTATCTCTTAAACAAAACCCAAAACTCCTCGATCTACACAGACCATCCTCCCTCCGAGTCCCTAACAAAAAACAGGTTCAAAGCGAGGCTCCTCATTCAATCAACATGCCCACAATGCATCACAAATTATTTGCTAGTGTTACTTTTCTTTACTTATCAGGTGAATCCACTCAAACCTTCTTGCAACGCACCGTGTGTGTGTTGAAAGGTATGTAACGTAAAATAAATAAAACATCTTATCAACAACAGTGCTAAAAATGCGTGACGACTAAATATCGCTGATCGGACAAAATATTTTCTCTATACCAACCACCACCATAATTTAAAATTGTATTATAAATAACAACTGAGATATCACGGGCGCTCTGACTGGTCAAAAACGTTTCTTTTATTGCACCCATAAGCCCATAGAAAATTGACTTATTTTCAATGAAACAATACGACGCACTTTCTATCGGGTTACCGCCTCAGCTCCAGGTTTACAACCTTTCTCGGGTTCTCCCAGCATCCTGAGTGGGTCATTACCAGTGGCGGATCTAGGGGAGGGGCCCGGGGACCTGCCCCCCCCCCCCTTATTTTGGGAAAAACTATAAACGCAGAGAGGAGAAAACTCGGCAGGTGTAAATACATGCACAAAACTGGCTTCTCCCCCCACCCCTCCCCCACTTAGCTCTCTAGGTCTGGATCCGCCACTGATTACATGGGGAAACCGATAGAAAGTACAGTCTATTGCTTCATTATCTCAATCTATTTTATTAACATAACAATGGTCTTGATTCCCTATTTTGGGCCCTTCACATAACGATCAACGACTGGAAGTTCCATGTTAGATCGTTTTAGATGGCTGACGAAATAATCGTTGGAAAAACAAACAACAAACGAATATAGCAACAAAAACAAAAGACATATCTATAATAGAAGAAACTTGAAGTAGGAAAATTTCCGGGATCGCCTTTCTGCGACTTCTAGGAGAAAATAGCAGACCCCAAGCAAGAAAGCGACAAACGTCAAGCTCTCGATCAAAATGTCGGCTGGCTACTGGCACATGAAGACATTGGCCGACTATTGTTCAGGTGATTGACAACCACCAGCCGACGATCGGTTCACTAACGGTCCGTTGTCGGCTGACCACAGATCGCCTATCAACTGATATAATAACTGACTTTATTATCCAACTACACCTAGACGAGTACAAATAACGCAATAGACGAGTACAAATACCACGCGGTATTTGTACTCGTCTATTGTAGAGTACCGGTTAAACAGGTTTTCTCGCATCGCGCAAGCGAAGAATTGGATTGTAGTTACGAAAAAAAAAAAAAAACAAATGGCGGACAACCTGAATCGTATTTCCGACGACGAAGAGTCAGAATGGCTGGCAAATATAGATCCAAGTTCATTAGATGAATCGAACGAAGAAAAACAGCTTGACGACCAGAAAATTTCTTCATGTAATGAAGAAAATAGAAACAGCACCACAACAACGCGCCAATTTCGTTCCGCTTCGCATACTTCTGTCACGCACTCCCCGTAAATAAACATCCGCGAAATTCGCCCGCACTGCACTAACAGTTTGGCGTGTTGGATAATAAATAACTTATTCGACGTTTTGTTGTGTAGTATCGCTGAGTATTTT